AAGAGCAGAGTCTCAGTAAGAAATACAAAATGGTGAATGAAAATACCTATACTACAAGGCATGCACATCTTACATTCCATGAGGAAGGTAAAAACACAGACCTTGGGAGCAAGAATCTTGTTTTTCTCTTCCTGTTGTATCATTTAGAACTATTGGTGCATATAAAATAACCCTAAATCTTAGGTTAAAACTGCAAACATTTATTATCTCATACTTTTCTATATGTCAAGGATTCAGGAATGGTGTCGTTGAATGTTTGTGGTTCATGGTCTCTCACGATGTTGTAATGAAGTTGTCGACCAGAGATGCGGTTTTATGACAGTGTTGGAAAATCTCACTTATGTGACCCTTGGCAGGGGGCTTCAGTTCTTGGCCACATGGAACTCTTCCTAGGGCTAATCACATGTGATTAGCAGCTGGTTTTTATGAGAGCGAGGGGAGAAAGAGAGAGGATGAGGGGAAGTCTGAGTTGAAAGCTACAGTGTCTTATAACTTGATCGTGGATGTAATACATCATCACTTTTGCTGCATGCTATTGCATTCAGATGGAACCTGGCACAATGTAGGTAGGGATTGCAGGAAGGTGTTAATTGCAAGTATAATTGGGAACCATCCTGGAAGCTACACTATCATTGAAGCTCTTTTAAAGGAGGTGGCTTATGAGCTGTGTCTTACAGGATGGATAGACTTTTATCAAAAGGGTAAAGGGGATAGTATTAGCAAATGCATAGGAGTTGAATAAATGGATATATTGAGTGTTAGTTCAAGGGCATGTTATTGAGTTTGGTTGATGAAATGAGATAATTTCACGTGGTGGAGTCCAATGGTAAAGCAAACAGTTGTTATTCTGTAGACTGTGTGGGAGTCATATTAAAGCTTTTGCAGAATCAAATTATTTATGGAATATCAGGTTCATGCTGGTGAATATGATGGTGGTGACACTAGGGGTAGGGATAGAAGATAGGAGGCCAATAGTACAAGTTGAGATCTAGTGATGGATTCAACTGTGCTAGAGATTGAGCAAATGTGGAAGGCATGACACTCTGGAGAGGCATTAGAAGGATGATTCTGAGAGGACCCAGCAAGCTAATGGACAGAGGCCAAGACAAAGAATTACCATCCTAGGTTGAGGTTATGTTTAAGGCCGTTCAGTTAAGAGAAGAGAGAGCATTCAGAAGGTAGGTGGAGGTCAGCATTATCAGATGCTTTGAGGGTACATGAGACTGACAGGGAAGATGTTACTTTTTGGTGATTATGAGGTAAACAATGGGCTTTGAGAAAATATTATTTTTTAATTCTCCATGATTTCTTGTTTGAATGTGTTTTTTTTTCCTTCTGAAATTTTCTAGGTATATTTATTATCAAGGCCTTCTCAAGTATTCTTATCATCATTCCCAAAACCTATCTATGTCCTGACACATAGGACCTCAACAGCCGGAACTTTTATTGAGAAATATTTAAAAAAACTATTCCCACTTCTCTCATATTTTTCTTTTTTCTGACAGGACAGAAGAATATTACGAGTTGTCCAGGTGACCACTGAAAGGGCTGAGTTCTTAACAAACCCATATCCTTCTTGGAGTTCCTTCATCAACTCTGACCTGTTTATTGTCCCTCCTTTGAGTAACTTCCTCCTTCCTTGAATTCACAAATCCTCTATTCTTCTAGTTATTTCTCTACTGCCTTTTTATTTCTTAAATTAATTTATCTGTCCCTCAGTTTATCTTGCCTCTTCACTTGTTGCTCCCTGAATTCCATCCTTGGATTACTTCTCTTCATTCCATGCTGTCCTATGTAGCTTTGTCTCTATTCTTGGTTTGATGATCACCTCTATCCAGAAGACCTACATGTCTATGCCTTTTGCTCTGACTTGTCTCCCAAGCTCCTTCTTGCCCCTATGGATCCCATTTGAATAAGTTTGCCTGTATGCTCTTTCCAAAACTCAATTCATACTGTCCAAAATTGGCCCATCATCTTTCTTGTCAACTTTTCCCTGTTTCCTGCTAACGACACCTTCTCCCCTTAGCTCATCATCTTGGATTTGAATCCCCTTTCTTTCGTGTCCCTGATGTAAATCAGTTTCAAAAATAATAAGTCCTGTTATTTCTTCTTCTGTGATGAAACTCCACTTTCCTTGGTCATTTTCTCACTTTATGTATTACTATTTTGATGATATCCTGTTTATGACTTTTATACACTTTAATCTGTTTTAAAAGTGATTCCTTTTTTATCTTCCTAAATAATTGCTTGTATAAGACTGCTATCCCATTCAAAATTCATCAACAAGCATCCACTGTTCTCCATTATTCATTGTCACAACTTCAGTCATCCCTTTACGAGTCTCTGGGTACTTAGTGACCCATCCAGAATGAACATAGCTTAGAATCACTGCACTTCACTGTTGGTTTCTCGCTTTCTCTTATTCTTTTCAGACTCTCCTTCAACCTGGGATACTGTTATTTTCCTGTCTTCCATATCCACACCTTATCTATTACGTAGGACTAAAGTTATATTTCTCACGTTCCCTTCTCTAACATGCATTGTTTAAATTGCTCTTTGAAACTAGTTTATTTCCATTAGAGGAGCCAGAAGACCTGATATCTTAGCTGTGTGAATTTCAGTAGTTGATGTTTTGTGTCTCTGTTACTACATCCGTAGAGGGCTATAAAAAGAGTACTTACCTCTAGGGATGTTTTCAAAATAAATTAGTTAAGTTAAGCATGACAAAAACCTTAAAACAGACACACAATAAGTATCAAAGATAGCCTCTTTATATAATTTATCTTTGATCCAGCCTAATGTTCCTGCTTCTTAGTTTAAAATATTTGACAAAGGATGGCTTCACATGACACTTAGAATAAACCCTACATTTCTTTCACTGATTTATTCGGCTGTATACAACAAGCCTCTCATCCACTTTTCCAGCTCAATCCCGTCCTGTGATGTTCTTTCCTCATTGCACTGCTGTGCCAGGTATCTTTCTGTTTTGTGATCTAACTAGGTGGCTACCACACTATGACATTTGCATATGCCACTGCCTCTGCCTGGAACATCCTGTCTTGCTCCCATTTAAAGTGGGATCCACCCTCTGTTGTATACATATTTAGCCCATTGTTTATTTCCTTCTCAGCACTCACCAAATTTGAAGGCATTTTATTTTGTGTCTATTTATGTGTGGGTGGGAGTGAAAGGGACTTGATGTTTTCTAATGTTCTGTTGAAATGTGTGTTGCATGAGTCTGGAGTAGGTCAGTGTCCGTTGGGTATTTATTGAAGAAATGAGTAGTTGTAAGTCACTGTAGATATTCATTAAATACATGAGAACACAAAATGTTTCATAGTAACAAGTGTTAACTCAGCTATCATATTGTTTTCTGACACTTGCAGCCTTGCCAAAAAGAGAAGGAAGGCCGTATTTGATCATTTAACCAACCTGTTGTAGGAAAAAGTTCCTCTTTTACCTAAGTGAACATAGGTTTTTCTTGATTTTTCAGTTTGGTATTTCTAAACTGTCAGGATTTACTGAAAATGTAGTGGTCACTCAAAGTGTTACATGGTTTATTTCTAAATGCCTGTTTATCTACTAAAATTGTCTTTGTCAGTATTCTAGTCTCTAGAGTTTTTGCAGGTTTTTCTCTATGTTGTTAAAGACAATGTCAAAGAAAAGTTTCATCAAATCTCTCATTCTGCTCCATGCTTAGAAAATTGAGAGTGATACAGTCTAAAAATGTTAAGGATTTTGGAGTTTAATCATTTATATTCTAACATTAAGGTTATAAAACTGCTGTGCAGTGTTGTTTATTTCCAGTGCTCGCTGGATGAATGACTCTCTGTGCTTTTTAATTTTGTTTTAAAGATTTGGGTCAAATCTAGCAGTGTGGTCAATAAATTAATTTCTTGAGTTTGTCAGAATTGTGGGATGATTTGAAAGGAGAAGAATTATGTAAAATTAATTCTCTATTTTTAATGTATGCTTCTGAAAGTATAAATAGAAATTTTCCTTTTCATTACTTTTCTTGATTTTCATAATACTAAAAATTCAATAAGTTAAGTTGTATACAAAATGGGAGCAAATCCAAGACAGAAACAGAAGATTTATTAAATATGCGACTTTTCAAAAATAGATACAGTTTGGAAGATTATTCTGTTTGAGGGAAGGAGATAAAATTTGGGCAAGACAAACTAGGGTGTGAGTCAAGGTCATTCATGTTCATTTGAACATTTATGTGCATATCTGTAAATGTCCAGAATGATCCCACAAAAACCTACAGACAAACTCTTTTCTCACCTGAGCATGCCATATTTTTGCAGCTACTCAAAAAACCTCAAAAAATTAAAGTTCCTCCTATTGTTTTCTTTTAGAAATTTAGGAGATCCCTGTGACTCAAAAGAAAACTAAATAAAGGATGGATCATCCTAAGGATTTTTATTTTTATTTGTAACTTAAAAATTCTTCTGAGATATCTTTAAGTTTTTAAAATACCTTTATATTTTCGTGTGTGTGTGTGTGTGTGTGTGTGTGTGTGTGTGTGTGTGTGTGTGTGTGTGTGTAGGTCTACATGGACACATTACTCATGAGTGTTGTCAAAACCTTGGCTGTAATTTTGGTCTAGACCTCTTGAGGTCCTTGGGTTCCACTCTGACATACATGCTCCTTCTCTCTCTCCTTTTCTAAGATCATCTTCGATGATATCATTTAAGAATTGTTCTGAAGTGCCTCTTCTTCTGAGCATGATATTCTCTATTCCTGTGTAACCAGTATGGGAACTCATGTAATTATAAGCACTTGCTTTAATGATGTTCTCTTCTGAAAGACCACGAAGAGAGTAATCACATTCATGGTCCATGCTTAACAAACACTTGTGAAGTGACATGACTTAAGGTTTCTAGACAATATTTATTGGAAAGTATTTTGATACAAAGGGATAAAATATATTAGTATTATTTGAGTTACCTCAATGTTCATGATGAAATATTTATATCCTTATATTTATGTGTTAGGTATCTTCTTGGCCGACTACCCAGAGCAAGTTGGAATGGCTATGCACATCTTTCTGAGCCCCCATGTCTTCAGTTGCAATGATGAAATTATACGGAAAGGCTTATTTGAAATGTTATTGTAGTGTGGAATATATCATTCTTAGCTTCCACATCTAATATTTCTTGAAAGGTATGTATGCTTTGACTAACTTATTATTTGTTTGCTAAGAGTCCATTAAAATGATTTTAAAAATTATGGCAGCATTTGCTAATCTATTAGTACTTCATAAATATTGGCTTAATTAGTGCCTTCCCCTCTTTAGTCCATGTTTACTATTTAAAATCTAGGCTGGATGCGGTGGCTCATGCCTATAATCCCAGCACTTTGGGAGGCCGAGGTGAGAGGATCGCCTGAGTCCACAGGTTCAAGACCGGCCTGGGCAACTTGACGAGACCTAATCTCTACAATAAATCACAAAATTAGCCAGGCCTGGTGGCGCATGCCTGTAGTTCCAGCTACTTGGAAGTCTGAGGTGGATGGATCACCTGAGCCTGGCAGGTCGAGGCTGCGGTGGCCGGAAGCGTGCCACCGTCCTCCAGCCTGCGTGACAGAGTGACACTCCAACTCAGAAAAGAAAAATCTATTATCCTGCATAATATGTTTTTAAAATATACTTTTATATATTGATGAATAACTTATTTATTAAGTAGAGTGTAGGTCATTATGTATGATGCTTATATATAGTAGGGTGTAGTTTTTACATAAAAATATAGATCATAAAATGAAATTTCATATTAATATGAAGACAATCTGTCATTTGCAGTCATGCTTATCTATCTCCAGGCTTTTTGTAATAGGTTATAAAGTCCAAATTTCACAGTAAAATCAAGAAAAAATTTAATCTAGATAATTTATTCTTTAACCTTTGAAATGTTTTTATCAGCCCCATTACAGTGTCTTATAACTTAGCCCTAAATACATGAAATAATGCTTGCCACATCATGGCCCACAGTGAATCCTATAGCTGAGTACAAAGAAAAATAAATAAGTGATTATTTGAACAAAAGGGTGTTGATTGTCTGGCTTCTCCCTTGCACCATAATGGCATAAACAATGGATGTTATAAAGAGACACTGCCTTTCTCTCACTCCTCAATGCTTGGGGATTTCTAGCGTACACACACACACACACACACACACACACACACACACACACACACACACGCCAGTCAAGAAGAATATTGTGTTGTAGGTACACACACAAAGGGTTTCCTCTAAAAAGAAACAAACATATATAGGAAGTACTTAACTACGGACAGCAGGAAAGATAACCCAATCTTCATTGAGGATAGTGAGCAGAGGCCTGTAGGAGAAACAGAGATGGTGAGGGAGGGGCATGTAGATTGGGTTGAAACATTCCTGACTCAGAGGGCAACAGCTTATTCCTCCCAGAAAGAACTAGCATGGATGAACAGAGTTCTTTCTGGGAATCTAAATATGTAGATGACTACACATTAGACAATGTATGTTGAGAGTATTTTGTTACATCAGATTTTAGTAATATCAGATTTGAAAATAGAAAAGTGCAAACACAAATACAATGAATACTACCATCTCACTATTTAAACAAATCTAGCAACAAAATCAAGCAAACTAAAAAGCAAACAAAAACTCAAACCTAAGATATTACTACTACTACTACTAATAATAATAAAATTTTTCTTTACTCTATCACAAGAAAATGTATGGTTAGTTAGACATAATGCATACTGATTTTTGTAAAAGTTTTCTGAAATACACATACATTGTTAACTTGATAAACACTTACCGGTGCTTGTGAACAGAGGTATGATTAAGTAATTTCAATTTCAAAGTCTTAATGTTAATGTCAGAATTACAGTAGCTAACATTAATTGAGCATCTACTATATACATTACTTATGCATTATGGGACTAACTTTGGTATTGACATCAAGTAATTTTATTTTTTGTTCACCGGGAATTTTTGTCTCTGATAAAAACTGTTTCATCTGTAGATCTTCTTAGTGTGGGAACTGAGGGATGTGAGAGAGAAATGATGCTCTTTGTCTTACCTGAACCAATGTACCATGGTGGGTCTAGCCTGCAAACAACTTAGTTTGGACAAGTTAGCTAATGTCTCCTTGGATTAGTTTTCTCAATGAATGGGCATAATGCTCATACTTACCTTATATGTTTCTTGAGAAGACTAAAAGAGTTTATATATATATATAAATGTTAACCCATTATGCACATGTTGGCTATTACAACTATTATTATATTTACTTGGATGAGGAGGTAACTTGATGTCTTAAAAAGTGCATGGTCTTTGGAGTCAAGATAGACTTAGAACTTATTCCCTGTTCCAGAGCTTATGAGCTGTGTGATTTAACATCTGAATATCAATTTTTCTAAATAAAAATTAGATGTGATAATAATTACTTCATATGTCTATAGAAGGGTCAATGAAGATTAATGTAATTTTGATTGCTGTTAAGTATAAATTCATTTTTATAAATGTATTTTAATTAACAATATTTATGAAATGTCTATTAATAACTAAATGGGCTAGATGTTAAGAGTAATCAAAAGCATAATTAAAATATGACCTACCTTCTGACGATTTAATAATGTGCTAGCTCATTAACTATGAAACACAAAGGCCTTATCTACTTGGTAGTAATATTCTTCAGGCATTGAAGTAACCCAAGAAGAATATCAAGTGATGTATCCTCTTCTGCATTTATCACTTTTCCTGTAGATGTAAAATTCTGAGTGTGACAGGCCACTTGGTACTCTGTCAAACATCTCTCACTAATAAGTAGAAGGAGCAGTGTTGCATGAGACTCACCCTGCAAAGAGAAGATTCCATGGAGAGATGACAAGAAAAGTACCAATGGTTCTAAGATGATGGCTGATCAAATAGGGAGTTTTATTGCATATCAGTTTTGAAATAGTAGTGTCATCTCTTTTACTGTTGGAGAGCAATATATTTCTTTTATTTTAATAGGGAACAATGTGCTGATATGGAAAAAACAACCAAGTAGATTCCTATGAAGCCATTCTTAAAGGCACCATCTCAGAAAGATGATGTAATGGTAAGTATCAAGAATAATTATTGGTGAGTCTAACATGGCAATGATTGTGTTCCGGACCACACCATGGGACTGGAGAGCCAGCCATTGGCCAGGCTATGGGCTCCAGAGGCTGTTGAGAACTCTAAACCTGGAACTGAGGGTAAAGGGTTGCGTGACAAGGCCTGCTGTTATTCATTGTAATCCTGAAAACCTCGTCCCTTCTTGAGCCTTAGTTTTCCAAGCAGATCCAAACTTAGATGGAAGATTGTTAAGGAAAGTGGAGGGGTTGGAATTGTTCTAGCACATAGCCTGGGTGAGTCAGGAGTGGGAGAACTGCAGGTTCACCCTGGCTGCCTCATTTTTCTCAGGGGAAACCGTTCTACAGGGCAACTGTCAGCTTTAGACCCCTGGCCACACTTCTGGGAAACCAGAACTCCTAACATGCAGGTCACTTGATCCTATGTTCCTGTTTGCATGGTCTTGTAATCCTTGGGTCTCTTTAGGACCCTGGGGTGCCTGTTGGGGAAAGTATCCAAGAAAGTTCTAGGACAGAAACACACATCCTGAAGTGTGACCTTAGACAGATGATTTTTTCATTACTTTTTAATGTCTTCATCTTTCTTGGCTGTCAAAAGGGGGTAGTAAAACACCTAACCTGTCACATTATAAGAATTAAGTGAAAACAGTGCTGTGATATACCACCATTGCTGAAAGTGCCTAATCTAGAATTGGAATAGTTCAACAGAAAGTTCAAGGGAAACTTTAAAATATTGAAAAATGCTATATCAGTCAGTTTTACAGATTCATCAACTTTTCAGAAGTGAACACATACTTCTTTGGGTCAGGCCCTTCAGAGTATCTGAGCTTCCCTTCCAGTCCCTTGCTGTGCCCTGGCAAGCCCAAACCTGGAGCCTTCCTGCCTCCAGCCTTTGGTTGATGCCGTTCTCTCTACCTGTATGTCATGTTTCCTTTCTCTACTTACTTCAGTCCTGCCCATCCTGTGTTGGGTGGGCTGATTAAAGAGTTAAAAAAAAATTGTTGGTAATTAATGACCTATGCTGAATTATTTCATCGATTCATTTTCAGCTTGGTTAAACCAAGTCTAGTAGTGCTTTCAGATTACTTCAGTGGCAAAAATAGTTTTATTAAAAAAAAAAGATTTGGAATGAACAGAAGTTCAAAGTAGTCATTTTCAGCTTACTTGGAGTGTTCAGAATGACATTCATTGGGAATCTAGGATTTCAAAATGATTGTTTGTTACTACAAATAGCCATAATTTGGGGTACATCTCATAAAGTAGACATACACAAATGAAACTCAGCTCTCTGACTCACCCCCTATAAATATCTCAGAAATTTACCCTCAGATTCACTGTTCACTAGAAGCCGATTCGCTTCTGAAGCAAGCATCTCAAACTATATAAAGCCCACAAACTCTTTCTTGAGCCATTTGAATGGCCCTGGCATCTCACTTTACACTTTTTATTCATAGCCCCTGCAGAGTGGGATCCAAAAGGTTAGACATAGCTATTAGTGCAGGCTGAGGTTCTATTCAGACCATGAGATCTCTCTATCTGGAAATTGAAAATATAGCCCAAGGCAGAGGATATTGGTAGAATCCTATTTATGATAACCAGTGGTGAGCACATGTTAATGGAGATAGTTCATAATTCAAAATGTGAATCCTTCCCAGCCTCAAATTACAGAAAGGATCATCTGATATTTACATCTAAGTAAATGATTGTGTCTTTTCATGGCTTAGCTGTCAATTTAAGCTCCAGTGAGGCAATATTTATGGTTTGATTGCGTAAATATTGGTTACTGACAAATTTTCTTATCAATTTGGATGTCATAACTTCCAAATACTTGTCGAAATTTAAACTGTAGATAAGTTTTGAATATCTCTTTAAAGTTTGCTAGATATTTTCATTTATATTTTCTCTTTACAAAACACGTCTTCAGTTTTCCTGGATTATAGAAGTTCTTTATTAAACTTTTATTTGCAAAAATTTTGGTTTCTAAATCCTACGTATTTCCTGCTATAAACAAATGCTAAGTATTTTTCTTTTTTTTTAATCAATATTTTTTATTATGATGTTGTGGGGTACAGTTAAGGGTTAGGTATACAATTACGTTTCATTCAAACACCTGTTGATAAGAGGTGATCCCCCATCCCCAGACAGATATTTCCTACTGTTAATCCCATCTCCCTCCTTCCCCCATATTTTCCCAGTACCGTCAGTCATTTTCTTATAGTATTACATTGGATGTTCAAGGTCCATTATATGAGTGAGAACATGTGATACTCGGATCGTTGTTTCTGTGAGAGGTCACTCAGTATTATAGACTCTAGTTCCATCCAGGTTGCTGCGAAATTCATAATTTTGTTCTTTTTTATGACTGTGTAGTATTCCATTGTTTAGCTGTTTAGTGTCTGTGTCTTTGTGGGTTTTAGGGGGACCTTGTTGGTGTCAATGTTTATTTTTATTCCACTGTGGTCTGAGAAGGTGTGTGGTAGAATTTCAGTCCTTTTAAATTTGTTTATGTTGTTTTATGTCCAATTATGTGGTTGATCTTAGAATATGTTCCATGCAGTGATGAGTAGAATGTGTATTCTGTGGTTTTTGGATGGAGTGTTCTGTAGGTATCAATTAAGTCCATTTGACCCAGAGTCTCATTGAGGTTCCGGATCTCCTTGCTGATTTTGGTCCTGATGATGTGTCCAGGGTTGTGAGTGGGGTATTAAAGTCCCCAGTTATGATGGTGTTAGAGTCAATATCTTTCTTTAGTTTTCCTAGAAGTTGCTTTATGAAAGTTGGCACACCTATGTTGGGTGCATATATGTTTAGGATAGATATTCCTTGTTGATGGAGTGAATCTTTTATCATTATGTAGTGGCCCTGTGTATATTTTTTAATTTTTGATAGCTTAAATGGTATTTTGTCTGAAATTGGGATCACGACTCCTCCTTTCTTTTGTGTTCCATTCGCCTGAAAATTTGTTTCCCATCCTCTTACTTTGAGTCTGTGTATGTCCTTTCTAGTGAGATGGGTCTCTTGAAGGCAGTATATTGTTGCCTGGTGATATTTTATCCATTTTGCCATTCTATGTCTTTTCAGTGGTGCATTTAGTCCATTCACATTCAGGCTAATTATTGAAGTGTGAAAGTTCATCCTTATCATAGAGTTCTTATAGAGTTGTTTTTCCTCCACTTGTTTTTATTTTTTGGTCTTTCTTTTGGTTTTGGGGTTGGTTCATGTATATTTTATTTTTTCCCCTGTACTCTTGTGAAGAACGTTGTTCTTTTTTCCTTTTCTTCTGTGTTTAGTACTTTATAAGTGTTTCATGTAGAGATGGTTTGGTGGCAGCATAAGTTCTTAGGGATTGGATATCTGGGAAAGATTTTAATTCTCCCTCACTGATGAAGCTTAGCTTGGCTGGGTAGGTTATTCTTGGTTGAAATTGTTTATCTTTTAGGACTTTGAAGATAGGGCTACAAACTCTCCTAATCTGCAAGGTTTCTGTAGATAAATATGCTGCTATTTTGATTGGTTTTCCATGGTAGGTGATCTGGCCTTTTTCTCTTGCTGCCTTTAGGATTTTTTCTTTTATGCTTACTTTGCTTAGGCAAATTATTATGTGTCTAGGAGTTGGTCTTCTCATTTGATGTCTTGCAGGGGTTCTCTGAATGTCTTGTGTTTGAATTTTTGCATACTGATTAAATAAGGGAAGTTTTCTTGAATGATCTCATGGAAAGTTTGTTCCAGTGTGGTCTCTGTCTCTCTTTCTGCGTCAGGAAATCCAATTACTCTTAGGTTAGGCCTCTTGAGGTAATCACTCATCTCTTGAAGGTTTTGTTCTGTCTTTTTGAGCTTATTTTCTGTGTTTTTAAGAGTTTGGGTTATTTCTATATTTTGGTCCTCAAGCTCTGAGATTCTTTCTTCTGCTTGGGTAATTCTGCTTTCCATGCTTATCAGTTTGTTATTTATTTCATTCACAGTATTCTTTATTACTGTTATCTCAGTTATCAGCTCCTTCCTAGTTTCTTCTTGTGTCTCCTCAATTCTTTTTAATCTTTTCATTATTGTCTTGATATCTATGTTTGTAGTTTGAGACCCTTCATTCTGGGGGCTCTTCGTTGTTTACATTCTGAAGTCAGTTTTCTCAGTGTCTGCCCTCCCAGGGGTCTGGGAGAGACCCATACTCTTCTTTTGGTTTTTCTTCATTTGTGTAGATTTTTCTCTCTCTCCCCCTTTCCCTCCCCTTCTTTAATTCTGTTTTTGAGGGAAGGTAGGGTTGCTTTTATTTCTCTTCTGCAATATCCTGTTCTTCCTTATGAGGGTCTTCTGGCTTTGTTCACTTTTCAGGTTGGAGCATAGGCTGCAATCTGTACGTTTTGCAGTTTTGAGGTTTAATTGAGAGGGAAGCTGTGGTTCAGAATGTATATGCTGATTCTAGCATCCGCGAACAGGTGTATGAGCACCCTGGAACCTATTTTCCTCTGCCTTACAATCTGTTCATTCAGCAGTATGTAGTCTTGGTCCCTAGATTAAATAGGGGGTTATAAAAGAGGAAAATAATGGAGGATGGGGGGTCAATAGGGAGTTAGAAAGAGAGAAGAGTGAGAGGGAAAACAGATATACATATCAGCTATCAGGTGAGAAAGAGACACAAGGCCGGGAAGAAGTGAAGAAAGACACGGTAAGAAAGATTCCCTAAAGAGTACTGATAGCTACACAGAGATAGGCCAATAAAATCAAGAAATAGTGTAAGTCAGAAGGCAAACAACAAACGTGATCATAACCAACAGTTACAATGATAAAATCATAAGTCAAAATAAGTGATCAGGCTAAAGTCACTTCTCTGATCTCCGATTCTGGCCTCTCTCCTTTGTTTTTCATTGCAGCGTAGGGGTGGGGCTTTGTCTCCTGTTTCACGCTGTTTCCTTAGGAACTGAGGTAAAGTTTGTTGATAGGTGGGCGGGGCAATGGAAGTCTCTGCCTGGAAAATGGTGAGGCAGTT